TCAAATTATCTTGATTGTCATAGACTAACATGATTTAGGATCGCTAGGTGCAGGCTAGAAACAGAAATCACTTTAGAGGTTGGGTAGCATCTATAGCAGTGGTTCTCAACCTTCCTAATGCCACGACTCCCTCATATAGTTCCTCACGTTGTGGTGACCCCCCCAACCATAAAATTATTTTCATTGCTATTTCATAACTCTAATTTTGCTACTGTTATGAATCGGGTGACCCCTGTAAAAGTGTAGTTTGATCCCCAAAGGGGTCGTGACCTACAGATTGAGAACCACTGACCCTAGAGCCTTTCAAAACAACAAAATCAAACATCAAACACTACCATCAAGTCATATCCAACTCATATGGACCCTATAGGACAGTAGAACTGCCCTGTGGATTTCTCAGACTGTAATTCTTTACGGGAGTATAAATCCTCCCCTTCCTCCTGTAGAGTCTCTGGTGGTTCCAAACTACTGACATTGCAGTTATCAGTCCAGTATGTAACCACTACCCTCCTTTAGCTCCTCACACAGAAAATCTTATTTAGCAGTGTTTCCACAGTGGGTGATACCATCCCCCGAGTGGTGCTGAAATAACACCAGTTAAGAAAGAAGAAAAATGTATAAATATTGAAAAGGAAGATATAAAACACTAACTTTCCAACTTTGGTTACGTACTTGAAAAACTTACAAGAATTAATTAAAAATACTTCAACAGAATGTTAGTAATTTTACACAATAACAACTCTAAAACTAGATAGTGGTGATGTTTGCACAGTAATTGTGGATGTATTGAGTGCCATCCATCTACTGCCATCAAGTCATTTCTGACTCATAGGGACCCTATAAATTCTACTGAGTGAAGTGGTAAATTTTATGTTTTGTGAATTTATAACACACAGATAAATAAATACAATATTTCTGTTAGGGAAAGTGTTAAATATATAGATAGACACTTTAGCCATATGGCTCTTTCTGTTTCTATAACTATCCTATCTCTTTTCAATTTTGTATTTTGCTCATATTTGTTCCTTTGGTTTTTTTTTTCTGGTTATTGTTCTTATCCTTGTACTGAGAGTGTCTTCAGTGCTGTATGAAACATTGTATGCATGAGGAAGTGGTGGGCAATAGCAAAACATTGTCACTGTCTTTTTTTAAATATATATTTTAAATCATCTTATTGGGGGCTCATACAACTCTTATCACATTGCGTACATACACATTGTCACTGTCTTAACAAGCAGTAGGTCAATCCCATTTTTATCTGTTGTTGCTTGATAAGTATTCTTGAGTTTTTCCTGGGCAACAGAACAAAACCCTGCCTGGTCTGAGCCATCCTCAAATTTAGTTGGTGCTATGTTTGAGCCCATTGTTGCAGTCACTGTATCAGTCCTCATTGAGGGTCTTCCTTTTTTTACTTACCACCTGTTTTAGCAAGTATGATCTCCTCCCAGGACTGGTCCTTTCTTAAAATACGTTCAACCTAAAGCTCTTATTAATGAAGATCAAAGACTGCAGCCATTAGTGAGAATTGCAGCTCAGTGTAAAGAAAATAAAAATCTTCACCACTGTACCAGGAGACATCATTGTGTTAAAGAGAAAAGATTGATATTGCAAGGATTTCATTTTTCTTGGATCCATAGTCAGTGTCCATGGAAGCAATAGTTAAATGAAATCCAATGAAAGAGTATAATCAATAACACTTGAAGAAGTTGTGGAATTGGAGCAAGTTTTGTTGTGTATATTTTTGTCACAATTAGATAAAAATACTAAGTGACTGACAGTACAAGGAAGAAGAAAATGTTCAAGAATCGAATGGTGATAATAGTACAACTCTTTTTTAAAAAAATCAATTTATTGGAGGTCGTACAACTCTTACCACCATCCATCCATCCATCCATTGTGTCAAGCACATTTGTACATTTGTTGCCATCATCATTCTCAAAACATTTGCTTTTTACTTGAGCCCTTGGTAACAGCTTCTCATTTTTTCCCCTCCCTCCTTGTGCCCCCTCCGTCATGAACCCTGGATAATTTATAAATTATTATTTTTTCATGTCTTACACTGTCTGATGTCTCCTTTCACCCACTAGTCTTGTCTGTCCCCAAGGGAGGAGGTTATATGTAGATCTTTGTGATCAGTTTCTCCTTTCTACCTTATCGTCCCTCCGCTTTCCCAGTATCATCACTGTCACCACTGGTCCTGAGGGGTTCATCTGTCCTGGATTCCTTGTGTTTCCAGTTCCATCAGTACCAGTGTACATCTTCTGGTCTAGTCGGATTTGTAAGGTAGAATTGGGATCATGATAGTGGGTGAGTGGGGGGAAGCATTAAAGAACTAGAGGAAAGTTGTATGTTTCATTGTTACTACACTGCACCCTGACTGGCTCATCTCCTCCCCACTACCCTTCTGTAAGGGGATGTCCAGTTGCCTACAGATGGACTTTGCGTCCCCACTCTGTACTCCCCCTCCTTCACAATGATAAGATATTTTGTTTTTTCATGCCTGATACCTAATCCTATCGACACCTCGTGTTCACACAGGCCAGTGTGCTTCTTCCATGTGGGCTTAGTTGCTTCTCAGCTAGATGGCTGTTTGATTATCTTCAAGCCTTTAAGAACCCAGATGCTATAGCTTTTGATAGCTGGGCACCATCAACTTTTTTCATCACATTTGCTTATGTACCCACTTTGTCTTAAGCGATCATGTCGGAAAGGTGAGCATCATGGAATGTCAGTTTAATAGAACAAAGTGTTCTTGCATTGATGGAGTAATAGTACAACTCTTGATATGATTGAATTGTGCGAGATGTGGATAAAGTGCTAATAATAATAACTTTAAAAAAATGAAATGTGTCAAATTGGGAAAATGTGTGGCAAGAGACCCACTTTAAAATGTTAAAGAGCAAAGATGTCATTTTGAGAACTAAATTGTGCCTGACCAAACATACGGTATTTAAAAAAATAGGTTTATTGGCATCTAATTCACATATCATATAATGTAATAGTTAAGTCATATGAAGAGGAGTTGTGCAGTTACCACCACAATTCAATTTCAGAATATTTTTTTCTTTCTTGCACACTTTGTTAGCTCCCCTTCCCCCCCACCCTTTCATGACCCTATGTAATTATTAATCCAGTTACTCACTATAGGATCTATGGTACTATAGGTACCTATAGGTAAATACCTATCCTGGATTTCATAAACAGCAAGTCATGTAAAACAAAAAACAAACAAAAATGACAAAACCAGAAAAACATCAGTTGAAAAGGAAGCAGAAAATATTAAAAACTTAACTTTACAGTGGGTCAAAAGATCAAATGAGAAGGCTTCTTTTACAACAAGCAGCCTTCAAAGTGAGGTGTCCATTGAGTCCACATGGAAGACATACCATCCAGTGTGATCCAACGATTGTAAAAAAATCTAAAGGCAATGGATGATATGAAGTTACTGTGAGTTGAGGACAACTAACATAAACAAGACTATACATTATTTGTCCTTTAGACTTGACTGAGCACAAGCTTTTTAAAATTTGTTGTTGTTTTCAGCAGGACATAGAAAAATTATTTTAACAAGCTGAGTAATGTCAATTGTTGGTGTCTACCTTATTTTTTCATCCATTTCTATTTTGGTGGACTTTTGGGTTGTTTTCTCCTTCTGTCTCCATATAAATTAAGCCTTTGTTGAATCCCTTTATCACAGTCCAGGGATGTGCGTAGCTGTTAGAAAGACAGTACTTGCAAGTGGACTATGGCAGATGTAGTTGTTAACATGTAAAAATACTATGGTGTTTCCAATCACCACATGTGTATGGAAAAGTTGGACAGTGAACAAATAGAGTAGAAGAATTGACATGTTTTAATTATGGTGTTGGAGAATATTAAATATACTATAGACTTGTCAGAAAGATGAATAAATGTATTGGGGAAGTATATCCATAATTCTTAGAAGAGTCCATGTTGAGATTTTATCCCACTCTTTTTGAACATGGTGTCAGGAGTGGCAAATCCCGGTAGATTCTAAGCATTTACTGAGCATGATGTCTTTTTACAGTGTACCATCATGCTTGGTAAATAAAGTTAGGGGTCAATGAAAAAGAGACCCACCTCAGTGAGATGGATTGAAAAAATGGCTGGAGCACGTGCACTCAAACGGCAGAGATTCTGACGATAATAACAGTGCTGGGTAATGTTCTGTTGTACATAAAGTCACTGTTGAGTTTAAACTTACTTGAGGGTGTCTAACAAAAATAAGTCCTTTAATCTTGACCTGGCATAAGGTTTTTAAAGTCCATATTGTAGTGTGTGAGCATTTATGAAAAAAATTATTTTAATAACCTAAATGATAGTCCATTGTTGGTGTATGCCTTATTTTTCCATCCAGTTATATTTTGATATACTTTTTGGTTTGTTTTCACCTTTTTTCTGGAATGCTATAATGGACATGCGTCTGTTTATGTTTTTAAGGGTTTTTTGCATTGTCTTTGGAATGTAGTTGTTGGGTCATGGTAGATCTATTTAACTTTTTTCCTCTACAATTAAAATTTAATGATCAGAAAACAAATTACTGTATTTCATTTTTACTTAGATTTTTGATCTCTGACATTGGTTTGAGATGATACCTTTATCTTGTTTCAGTATTATATTAAGTCCATTTTGGATTTTGAGTTTTCTTTTGGTCATTTTGTACCTTCTGTGCTCTGGGCTTGTAATTATTGAGGCTCTTTACTGTGCTTTAATATCTGATAAGAAAATAAAATCTTCATTTTTTTCAGTTTTTCTGGTCTGGCTGTTCTTGTTCATAAGTTTGAAAATTTGAGATCACATTATACTTCTCAGTTAACATAAGAATGATCTTTTAATAGATTTTAATAGTTTAATACAGTGGCATCATCCATAATTTTGGAGTTCCTGATACGTAGTCATTTGAAGTTAATTTTGGAAAACTTAAAGTACCACTTCAAAGCTGCTCTAGAAGATAAATTGAGTATATTGTTGCTTTTTAGTTTAGTCCAATGGCCAACGGCTTTCAAAGATACATGGTCTCTACTGGTGCTGATGGAACAGTTTGTTTTTGGCAGTGGGATTTAGGATCCTTGAAATTCAGGTAAGTAATAATGTGGCACATTTTGCTTTTTTAACATTAATATAATTCAGTCTAATGAAATGAAGTTTGATTATAGAGAGTAATTAGGTATTATAGTTGGTTGCCTTTTATTTTCAACCTTATTATATATAGCACATGCTATTCTGATTATTTACCATTTACAGTTTACTTTTTAGGTAGTTGGATATGTGAAAGAAACATAGCTATTCTATCTTGTGGACATTTTTTGAAAACAAAGTGATACAGTATGTAAATGAATCATTTTGAAAACTTATTACATGACTAGGGCTCTCTTTTGAAAACTTAGAAATCTGGTAGACATTAGGAATATAAATGGAAATTCAGGCAGAATCATTTTAAGAACTAGAAGACTTGATTATAGGTCTGTGTTAATACTTTTTCTATTAGCCACGTGGAAGTACTGAAAACTTCAGATGTGGCTACTGCAACTAAGAAACAACTGCTAATTCCAGTTGAAATCTGATACTTGTACAGAGAAGAGATAAGAGCTCATGACACAAGGAATCTAGGAACAGGAGTAGTGATACCAGGAGGGTAGGGGAAGGTGGGGAGAGGAGGGAACGGATCCCAATGATCAACACATAATCACCACCACCCGCCGCCCCAACCCCCCCAAAGAGGATGAACAGCAGAAACCATGGGGGAAGGGAGACGGCACTTAGTATAAGAGAGGAAAATAATTTATAATTTGTCAAGGGGTCACAAGGGTGATGGGGTGGACCTGATACTAAGGGCTAAATAGAAAGTAAATGTTTAGAAATTAATGATGACAACATATGTACAAATATGCTTGATAAAATTGATGTATGGATTGCTATAAGCTCTGTAAAAGCCCCCAATAAAATGACCTTTGAAATAGATATTTAAAAAATCTGATACTTGATTCAGTTAGAAGGACATTTTAGGTATGTTTAAAATTTGAATACATGCATTTGATTTTTCAAGTATCAGTCTTACGAAATCAATACAGATCAGGTTAAAAACCAGCCCATGTAGCAAGTAAAGCTAAGTGCCTCAGGTAGGAGGTTTGCTTGTGGAGTTGGGTGCTTCTGGATACTTAATGGGAGACTGAAGTGTTTGACCCACAGAACTAGAACTGAACACCTTGAGCTTAGGCTCATATGGGTGTTTGATACCTTTTGGGCATGCATTGACTACCCTAAAGAGCTTTGTAACAATTGCTTGAACAGACTAGAAGCAAGGAATGATGTTACTAGACCAAAGAGAGGTGTGTTTGTTGACGACTGAGAAGAGGCTGTCCTAACTGAACTGTATCCTGAATATGGTCCTGAATAGTAAACTGTTAATGTTTTAAATTAAAAAATAGATAACTTCCTCAAGACCAGTAATGAGAGAAGGGAATACCAGGAGGGTGAGGGGAAGGTGAGGGAGAAAAGGGGAACCAATCACAATGATCTACATAAACCCCCCTCCCAGGGAGATGGACAACAGAAAAGTGGATGAAGGGAGACAGTGTAAGACATGAAAAAAAAAAAATTATCAAGGGATCATGAGGGAGCGGAAAGGGGGGAAATGAGCTGAACCAAGGGCTCAGGTAGAAAGAAAATGTTTTGAAAATGATGGCAACATGTGTACAATGTGCTTTATGCAATGGATGTACCGTGTGGATTGTGTTAGAGCTCTACGAGCCCCTAATAAAAGGATAAATAAATAAATGCATACAGATCAGGTATTCTGGATAGAAGAAACTTGGAACTTAAATTGAGATGTACACTGGAAGATTTTAAAGATTCAATGTACAAGAGAATACAAAATATCTAATTAAAATTTTAAAATTGAGCACATGTATATTTTGGATATACTCAGGTAAGTCAAAAGTATTGCTTAGTAGGTTACTAGCTCATTACATGTATATAGCTTCGTTCCAAAAAAATGTTGCAACTTGTCTCTGCAATCATTAGATAATTATAGATCTAATTTTTTTGTTTTAGTATCATTAGAGTACCTTCAAAATCATGCTTCTGTGTCATTGATAACGAGTTTGAGGACACAGCTAATAGCAAAATTTTAACAAAAATTAAAGTGGACATCTTCCCCAAGCATTGAAACTCTGTAACAAGTGTAGGGGAATGCTGCTCACTAAAGCAACAGATTTTAGATGGATCTGTATTTTAACTGTGGCCCAAGTCCAGAAACTAGTGGAATTCCCATAGATGCAATAGCTGCTAAAATTCGCATCTTATATGGTTCAACAATTTCAAGTTTATGTCAATATCTTGACCTCAGCAAGCTTTTGGCTCAGTGAACTAGTTGAAATTGCGGCTCTTCCATCAATCCTGTAAAATCAAAGCTCATGAAGATGATTTTTATGGAACTATTTTATGGACCTTGGGATGAGTCTTGTATTTACTAATATGAGCCAGAGAATAAGGTCTAACCAAAGCAGTGGCTTCCTAGGGACTCTGCTGTGCCAGTTAAATTCACAGCAGAAAGGTTGGCTCATAATGTTATAACTGCTTTTTGGGTTACAAAGGAGTAATTTTGAAAGATATTCACAAAGAACACAAGATGATTATGAGGGCTTATTAGGAAGAAGCTTTAAGAAAACTGAAAATTGCACTGGTGAGAGAAAGTCCAGGGAAGTTGTGCCCAAGAAGCTTTTCCTATCACAACAGTGCATCTGCTCATTCTTCAAAGGTAAAATGGGCTGTCTCTAGAACAGTGGTTCTCAAACTGTGGGTCATGACCCCTTTGGAGGTCGATCGACCCTTTCACAGGGGTTGCCCAATTCAAAACAGTAGCAAAATTACAGTTATGAAGTAGCAACGAAAATAATTTTATGGTTGGGGTCACCACAACATGAACTGTATTAAAGGGTCACGGCATTAGGAAAGTTGAGAACCACTGCTCTAGAATTTCTTTGGAAAGTGTTGCTCCATTCACCCTATAGCCTTGATGTTCCCATTCAGATGCCCTCCTTTGTTTCCAAAATTTGAACAGAATTTAAAAGTAACCTGAGTTGAGCCCCTCAAGGATGCTGAAACATTTGTTTTGACATTCTCTAAATCAAAGAGTTGAAGAGTGCAGGATTCTTTTTTTTTTTTAAATCATTTTATTGGGGCTCATACAACTTTCATCACAGTCCATACATACATCTGTTGTGTCAAGCACACTTGTACATATGTTGCCATCATTATTTTCAAAACATTTTCTTTCTACGTGAGCCTTGATATCAGCTCGTTTCCCCTCTTCCTTCACATTATATTTATATTGAATAAAGGTTTCTATGATTTTTGGCAATACCTTTTTAATCTTATCTTTGTATTGCCTTAAAATGATACGTTTCATCTCTGTATTTTTTTAACATGGCTACTGGTATTGCATGTGGCTAATCTTACACCTTTGTTGAACAGTGCTATGGTTGTGTACTCAGGACTCACTGTATGATGGTACACTTAGACTCTTAAGCTTTAGTCACCTCGCTTTAAAATTAGGCCTACATTTCATGTGTAGTAGAATTGATAAGAAGGTGAGATTTGAGCAGGGTCATCTCACATCCGGTCAGCTATAAATGCATAATAGGACTACTTGGTATATTTGTATGCACATTGTTATAATATTTAATTATAATATATTAAAACAAATATCTAAAACTGTGTTAATGTGTTAAACTAACATGTTTTAAATCATTTATCTTCTTTTAAAGTCCACGTCCACTGAAGTTCACTGAAAAACCCAGACCAGGTGTTCAAATGCTTTGTTCTTCTTTTAGCGTGGGTAAGATAACTTTAGTAATTTTGCTAATGTTATTTTAACATATATTAAAGAACCATATTTTGGGCATGGCCATTTGTGATATAGATGTAAAATGAGGTTCATTTAATTGGGCTTAGTTTATGAATAGATATTATTAGCCTTTTGTTGTTGCTCATTTCCCTATTATGCTTTTCTCTGTGATTTCTAATAATAATCAGTGATAGGACTGGGGCCATTAAAATAGCTATGAAAGTTCCAAATTGAAAATGCTACCACTTAGAAAACAATTTGTTCCAAGTAAGACAAAAAGTTCGAAGGATTATTCCATCAAGATTATTCCATGAAAAAGGAATTCTTAGAGTTTACTTTCTAATCAAATTTTAAATTGAACTCTATTCAAATAATGTATGTGTTGGGACTTTTTTTTTTTTTTTTGGTAAACCATAGTATTTGTACTTTCTTTTTCTTTGCAATCTTTAGTTTTTGCATTGGCTCCTTAGATTTTTTTTATGTGCTTTAAGTAGTTGCTTATGTAAAACTAATGATTGTAATAGGTTTAAAATGTGTCTAACAAAATAGGCGATTTGAACTGTGTACAGACACTGCTCTGTGAGTTTCTGGAGGAGTAAAGTAGTAGAGCAGATCATATGTTTTTCCAGAAGCAATGTAATGGGCAGTCAGTCTTCTGTGGTGACCGTCCCAAAGCTGTCCCACTGGGCTGTCACTGTCAGTATTACTCTTGGGTAGCCTTTTGGATAAGTGAGTTTTCTGCTGTGGCCCTGAAAGGACTTTAGTTCAGATATACTGTATGCACAACCGGAGACAGCATGTCTTTATCAGAAGGGACAGATTCTCTGGTAGTTGATTGAGTCAGGAGTGGAACTCCAGCCTTTGACAGCAATGAACTGTAAAACTCACTCACTCACTCACTCACTCACTCACTCACTCACTCACTCACTCACTCACTCACTCACTCACTCTAATACCCTTGATCTGTTCATCTTTTGTGTCAGCATTTAGAAAAGACTGTTAAAGTAGCAGTTATAGTAATGACTGGCAATTAAAGAACAGAAATTAAGCTATTTGTGATCTATTTCATTAAAGGACTTCCTTAAAAAAAACAAAAATCAGTGTTAGTAGCATATAAAAGATAGCTGATATGAAGGAGGCTGATGATGTCCATAGGAGCAAATTCTGAGTCGTGCCCATGTGCATTAGATATATATCTGTACATACACATGCTAAATTATGATTTTCTTTTAATAGTTAAAACGTCTGTTTTTGGTAGTATGAGTTTTTTTCTCTACACATACGATCTTGGTGAGATCATTCTCTGCTTTTTATTGTATTGTGAACTTGTGTGATAACATCTTCATTTTCCTTAGGACAGGTCACATTCTTTTTCTCCAGAAATATTTGAAAACTGTAACCATTGCATTTTTTATTCTGTAGCTAGGTATAGATTTAGGTACTGTATATAGACTTGTTTAGAAAACGGGACTTCTTTTATTAAGGTATTTTTAGAGTAGTGGCACTAATGGATAGTATCATACTTAATAAAGCTGGGGGAAATAGTGAACCTTTCCAGACTAAAATACATTTGTCTATGTAAGCAAAGTTCTTATTATCTTAGTTTTATGTGTATGAGGTAGAACATGAATATGTTGAAATCAACTTAAATTTAGAGTAAAAGTGTTTTATTTAAGCAGAGTTCTTATTATCTTAGTTTTATGAGTATGAGGTAGAACATGAATATGTTGAAATCAACTTAAATTTAGAGTAAAAGTGTTTTATTTACTGTAGAAATTTGATTTCTTGTTATAAATTGTTAAAAACTGATTGTTACAAACCGAATGTTTAAATTTTAACATCTTTGTTTCAGGTGGTATGTTTTTAGCCACAGGCAGTACTGATCATGTAATCAGAATGTACTTTTTGGGTTTTGAAGCACCTGAAAAAATTGCGGAACTTGAAAGCCACACTGTACGTATTTGTTATAAAATTGTTAATAATATTTGTTAGTATAGAGGCAAATGTTGCCTAGGGACATTATTAATGGTTCTAATTTTAACTTTAGCATAGAAAAATTGTATTTATATAGGAGGGATGTCCTAATGGCAAATCGGGATCTTGTGAGTGTTAACTATTTTTTATAGCTGTATTTTGTTTTTAAGTCAAACAGCTTGGTTCTGTCTGTTGATCTTAGAGCATTTGGTTCGAGTTTATTCATCTTAACTAGGCTAATGAAAATGTAATGTTATTTTATAATGTATAGTAAGATTTATAACTACCAGTATTCTGGAATGCTGAACAGGTAATTTCTCCTGTAGGAAGCTCTGTGTGGGAAACCATGTCACCCTTAGAAGTTATTGGATAAATTTTGACTCAACTTTCAAAAAAGGAAAATGTCACCAACATGAAAATGCTTTTTCTTTTAATCCGATAAATTCTGTATTCTGATTACTTTTCATATATGTATACATTTTATAAAGATGTTAGTAATTACAACTTTAATTTTAGAGGCAGTCTTTTTTGGATGTATTTGTCTTCTAGAAAAGAACCAATTCTTAGTTTTGTTAGGCTTTATTAAGACTCTGCATTTAAAAGTACAGTATAATCATACCTGTTTGCATGATAGGGTCAAGTAACAAAAGTATAGATCTCTTGCTTGTTAAATCAAATAGGCTTCTAACACTAAAACTTAGTTTTGTTTGTTTGTCTTTTGAACTGCAGCTCACTATTTTTTGTTTGTGTTCTCCTGCTTCCCCCTTTTAGGACAAAGTTGATAGCATCCAATTCTGTAACAATGGTGACAGGTAAGTGAGAGAGAGAGAGAGAGTGATTTTAGGCAACTGTATACCCTACTACTATATGGATCATGTCTATTTCTGGGTACTGTTTCTCTGTACTACAGCAATCTTATCTTTCACCAAGTGGCCGGTGGGTTTGAACATCCGATCTTGCAGTTAGTAATCCAATGCTTAACTCATAGCTCCATAAGGACTGTTAATTGAATGAAACGTGTCTGGAAACACATGCAATCAGTTTTTAGACTTGTAGTTTTTGCTGGCTTCTGGGATCAAAAGTATTTCAGTTTTTCTTTAACTCACCATTGGCTAGATACTTGATTTACTGGTAATTATATACAAAGACAATGAAATCCCTTATAGTTGAGTAAAAGAAAAACACTAAATTGACACTGCTTAAAATATATATCCTCCTAAAGTAAAAGGAAATAGAGGAAAGAATGAGGAGGCAAAAGACATTTATAGAGGTAAAAATATAGGCATGCATATAGTATGTAAATTTAATGATAGGGAAATAGGTCTATGTTCATATATTTATATGTTAAGTATCAAGGTAGCAGATAGACATTGGCCTCTACTCAAGTCCTCCTCAGTGCAAGAACACTTTGTTCTAATAACCTGGCATTCTGTGATGCTCACCTTCCCAGCATGATTGCTGAAGACAAAATGGGTGCAAAAGCAAATGTGGAGAAGAAAGCTGATGGTGCCTGGTTATTAAAAGATAGAGTGTCTGCATAGTACCTGCATGATCACGAGGTGTTGACTGGATCAGATATCTGGCATCAGAAGACCCAACACAATCAGTCATGTAAATGCAAACGAGGGGGGTCAGAGTGGAGAACTGAAGTCTATCTGTAGACAATTAACAATTGGACATCCCCTCACAGAAGGGCCCCAAGGAAGGACCAAGTCAGCCAGGATGCTACATAGCACCAATGGAGCACACAACATTCTTCTAGTTCTTTAATGCTCTCCCCCCCCCCTACTATCCCCCCCCAGTTCTACCATACAAATCTGGCTAGACCAGAGCATGTACACTGGTACAGATAGTACAGATAGATACATGGAATCCAGGACAGATAAACCCCTCAGGAACAATAATGGGAGTAGCAATACCATGAGGATGGGAAGGTTGGGGTAGAAAGGTGAAACCAGTCGCAATGATCGACATGTTAAACCCCAACCCCCCCACCCCCGCCAGGGGAACAAACAACAGAAATGTGGGTGAAGGGAGACAGCGGACGACTGTAAGATGAGAAAATCATAACAATTTATAATTTATCAAGGGTTCACGAGGGTGGGAGGGTAGTGAGGGAGAGAATAAAGGAGCTGATACCAAGAGCTCAAGTAGAAAGAAAATGTTTTGAAAATGATAATGGCAACCTATGTACAAATGTGCTTCTTAAAATTGATACATGGATTGTTACAAGAGCTGTAAGAGTCTCCAATAAAATGATTTGTTAAAAAATTATATATATCCTCCTATGTGGCCCCTTTGTCCCTCTCATGCCTTGATTTCCTAATTTCTATTTTTCAATACCTTTTATTTGTTAAAAGAATTATTTTTTACATGATAACCAACATGAATTAATTTGAGTTTAGAGGTAAGGTACTTACAATGAAGTCTTTGCTCTCAAATTTTTCTGTGTCTATTTTCTTCTCCGAATTAGGTTTGTTTTTTTTTTTTTTTAAACATTTTATTAGGGGCTCATACAACTGTTATCCCAATCCATACACACATCAATTGTGTAAAGCGTATTT